TGAGGACCAGCAGCATGAGAGTCACCTGGGAGGTTGCAGAAATGCAGAATCTCAGAGCCATCACTTATCTACTAAATTAGAGACTGCATTTTTAACAAGCTCCCCAGGGAATTAATGTGCACATGACAGTTTAAAAAACAATGCTCTATACAACATGGCATAAAATTTAATAAGGCAGGGCAATCAGAAACACAGGTTTTAAAATTATATATATTATAGTTATTATTCTGGATTTCAAATGCCTGGCCCTTATTCTTATTGATAATCTATAAAATGTGAAGCACACAAATTATTTAATGAATCAATCTATCACAGATTCCGTGCTCATATAATTTAAATCATATCTAAAAGACTTGGATAGTTTAATTCTGCTATTCCTTAATTTTTGTATTTATAATGGAAATTTATAAATAGCTTCTTGTCCAGAGCCATTTCATTTCCAACAATTTATATTCACTTATGTTCATGAAAGATGTTACTTTAAAAAAAATGTTTCCTTCTATTTATGAGCATAATCTCAGATAATAGGTCTCAAGTTTATAACTTCATTTCCCCATATTGTCAGTCAAAACCATTTTTTTCTTAGAAACAAATCACAGTAAAAAAACTATAATGAAAATGTTTTATACTGTACATAACTTTCTGTACTAAGTATGGTGTCTACTGTCTAGGTAGACTTCTTAAGAATTTAAGAGGAGTCACTTGGGATCCCATAAGGGTTTCTAACATGATCTGCGCTCTGTTCTTTACAATGTCATGTTTCAACATGTCTCACTATACAATTAATGCAGTATTCTAAGAATATAATGGTGCCTTTAAACAATGGTTTTTTTTTTTTAAGATTTTCTTTATTCATTTGACAGAGAGAAAGAGATCACAAGTAGACAGAGAGAGAGCGGGAAGCAGGTTCCCTGCTGAGCAGAGAGCCTGATGCAGGGCTTGCTTGATCCCAGGACCCTGAGATCATGACCTGAGCCAATGGCAAAGGCTTAACCTATTGAGCCACAAGGGCGCCCCTAAACAATGGTTTTTTTATATGGTAGGTCTTTTAAATGAATTATAATAAAATTTTTCTTAAATATAAATTTTTAAAAATTTTATGTATTTTGAATAACACATTTCTAGGACATAAATCATTAAGTCCTAATTTTATAAGGCATGGTGTTTCCATCAATAAATCGGTATCTTAATGCATTCTTCCCAGCCGTTACATTCTGTTCCTAGTCTTCGTTTCTATTTAATTATATTATCATATTTGAATCTGTACTAGTAGCAGATGATTACCCTGTTGCCTAGCTGGCATCCAATTACCCTCCCTCCCTGAGAACACCTCTCCCTCACAGTAGCCTCTCCCTCATAGTAGCCATAAGGTTTAGGCAGGATGAACCCACCCTCTTCTCTGGGAGAGAAGGCCCTAAGGGCACCAAGCCAATTAGGGTAATCACATTCCTCTACTTAAAGTGATCCGCTCCAGCGTGATCTCATCAGATAAAAGCTCAGCACTTTTGATCCATTGTTGTGGGAATTAACCCCTACCCCCAAGGATATGAACAAAGCATGTGGCTTCCATCGCTGTTGGTACCAATCTTGCCACCAAGAGGAAACTCAGCATGAGGAACCCCACACAGGGAGTGTGGCAAGTCAGGAGAATCAAAGAGGTTAGAGTAAGAACAAACTATAACTAAAAGCTACGCTACTTCCACTTTTCTTCGTAGTTTAAGTTACTTTGAGGTTGCTTTTCTCTTCTCAGCAACCAAAGCATTCTGGTGAATCCCAAAGGAAAGCATATAAGAATATTCAATATGTCATTTCCCAAATTTACATATAATTGCCACTGTTTATTACTTAATTCATTTTGGGATGTGATGTTTATTCTTAGAACTTAGAAAAAGAAGCTGAAACTTAAGACCTGTCTCAGCATCCCATGCTCTTTGCCATTTTAACATTGTTGACTAAAAAAATTACATTTTAGAGAGGGCGGCGGGGTTATTGACATTGGGGAGGGTATGGGATATGGTGAGTGCTGTGAAATGCGTAAGCCAGATGATTCACAGACCTGTACCCCTGGGGCAAATAATACATTATATGTTAATAAAAATAATTAATTTTAAAAATTACATTTAAGCTTTTTTCTTTTTTTAACATACAATGTATCATTTATTTCAGGGGTACAGGTCTGTGATTCATCAGTCTAACATAATACACAGTGCTCACCATCACACATACCCTCTTAAGAAAAGCTATTAAGAGATAATCTATTTATATCCTTAAGATCACTTTTAAGTTAAAACGTTAAGTGTATGGACGCTCGTGGCTCAGTCAGTTAATCATCTGCTTGGACTCAGGTCATGAGCCTGCGTCTCCCTCTCCCTCTGTGCTCTCTTCCTCTATCTCTCAAATAAATAAATAACATCTTTAAAAATAAAATAAAATGTTAAGTGTAGGGAAACCAAAGCTGTTTGACGCCTTGTAGCCCAAATAAAACAAAGGGGAAAAAAATTTAAATAGCACCCACAGTAAATTAAGATAAGACAAGTAAATACTAGCAATCATGGGTCCTTTTTTTAGATTCTGACAAAGAATGTTTTTTACAGACATTGTACACACCTAAAAAGTACTAAACAAGAAGCATACAACAAGTCAGATGAGTCAAATTTTAAAAATTAAAAGATAATAATGTTGAACATCCATAGTCTCATGGGATAAAACTTAAGAAAGCATTAATTCCTCAACTACAAAATATTTTTAGCTATCTGGTCTGTTGTTTTTTTTCTTAAACCAAGGATCCAAGTGATCTACTTAACAGTACAGTTCCAACATTTTCTCTTTTCTATTTACGTGCAAATCAAATCATTTTTGACATTTAACAAGTTTTGCCTTTTTTCAAGTTAAACTTTATTTTGGGATAATTATAGACTAACACAGTTTTGCTTTTATAGATTAGAGATACACACGGCAAATACATTTTCCAAAAATAACCACACTGGTTAAAAAGTAATACTGCCATTCGAATTGTCAAAAGCTTAAAAACCAAGAACCCAAGGGCATCTGCTCATTCATTTGGTTAAGCATCTGCCTTTGGCTCAGATTGTGATCTCAGGGTCCTGAGATGGAGCCCCACTGGGCTCCTTGCTCAGTAGGAATCTGCTTGTCCCTCTCCCTCAGCCCCTCCCCCCTGTTCTTTCCCTCTTTTTCTCAAATGAATAAATAAAATCTTAAAAAAAAAAAAAAAGGAAGAACCCAATCTGTCTCTTTTCCTCACAAAAGAACATATATTTCATAATGAGAATTTAGAGAAAAAAGCTAGGTAAAAACAATGAAAATGTCATGTACTCCTACTACTTTTTTTATATTTCCACTAGGGGTTTTGTTTGTTTGTTTTCATTCCATGTGAATGGGGTGAGGGGGTGTGGTGGTAATAACCCCACTAAGAAAATACAAATAATTTTTTTTAAGATTTTATTTATTTATTTGACAGAGATCACAAGTAGGCAGAGAGGCAGGCAGAGAAAGGGAGGAAGCAGGCTCCCTGCTGAGCACAGAGCCTGATTCAGGGTTCTATCCCAGGACCCTAGGATCATGAACCAAGCTGAAGGCAGAGGCTTTAACCCACTGAGCCACCCAGGCACCCCGAAAATACAAATAATTTTTACTCAAGAATTAACTTTAGGGCACCTGAGTGGCTCAGCCGGTTAAGTATCTGCCTTCGGCTGGAGTAATGATTGATTGCAGGGTCCTGGGATGGAGCACACATCGGGACCCCTGCTCAATGGGAAGCCTGCTCCTCCCTCTCCTCCCAACTTGTGCACTCTCCTGCTCTCAAATAAATAATCTCAAAAAATTTTTTAAAATAAAATTTAAGAATTAACTTTAATTTCCAGGCCTGTTAATCAATAGTGTCAATGCTCATGAAATTAATGATTTGATAAAAACGCCATCTAATCTAAGAGCTTTGAGCCATAAGAACATAATTCCTGCCTCACACCATGTTACAGGTGCTCTACATCCAAACTAACATCCACAGGAGAGCAACTACTGCCCCAGGAAGCCCTAAGGGACACAGTAAACAGAATGAGAAGTAGTGGTAGCATTGTTAGAATGAGACCTGAGAGGCACACCTCTCTTCTCAAGAAACAGAATGTCTTCTTAGAGGAGGCAGTGGAAGTCAGGTTTCCCTGATACCAAGAAAGACAACTTCTTTGGTTGTTTATACGTTAGTGTAATTATATTTTCATTAGACCTCTGTGGCCATTATTACAAGTTCCCCACATTTTCAAAAGTGGTAAAAAACAATCTATATATGCAAGTGTCAATAGTTTCTAAGGCCACATCGGACTATATGGAGCCTTTGGTTACTTTGTTCTCATTAAAATCACCATTAGCAATAAGGCAGAGAAACACTGAAAATGCTGTCATAAATTCCAAAAGAAAAGGACAAAATTTTAGAGGAAAATGTTAATGGAAACTTCGGGTTCCATTTAGAAATTTCAGCTTTCCTTAAGGAATTTAACCCCGCATTTTAGACTTGTCAGTGCTACAGATGGAGTTCCTTCCTTTCGCATGTATCTCACACATCCCTGAACTCTCATAGCACCAAGACGGCTTTATCCATCTTAACAATTAATTTCATGCATCTTAACAAAGTGTCATCTTATTTGCAAGGACTTTACTCTTTCATACCAGTTTCCACTCTCTGACCATAGAGTCATCTCCATGTGGTCAGAGGTAGGCACTGAACAGTTTCTAACTGATTAGAACTGGGAATGCCTATGTGAGTCATATAATTCCAAGGCAGATAAGAACTATCCATGGTAGAAAGTATTATTCACCACTCAACATGATCATTAGGGGAATAATGATGACCTAAGAGGTTTTTAAAAATACTTTGAAATTAATTCAAGTCTTCTTAATAAGAAACTCTTCTATGTGGAATAAAAAAAAAGTGAAGTTCTTTGTTTGGCCAAAAGAATATGCCCAAATAAATGAACCCCACAATTTACCTCGATAGTAGGCTTTTGTTATTGCATCAAATTCCTCTTGACCTGCTGTATCCCACAACATTAGTCTGACATCTTCATCATTGACTCTGAAACAAGAGATGAATTTATTTCATATGTAAAGAAAACATCTTTAGTAACATAGCTTTGTGCATATTTCTATTTTTCAAATCTGAAGGTTTTAAAACTGCATTGCTGGTTTTCACCTTAAAAAGTCTGAGTGCTTTTAAATGCTGATACCACTACCAGTAGTGAAACTAAAGGGGGAAAAAACATTCCCCCAAAGCTATAACTTCATACATGATTTAAATTTACCTGTCCCGTTTTCTCCTTTAACAAGAGTCACAGACAGTGGTGGCCTGATGACCAGCAGCACTGGGAAGAGGATTCTCTTAGGTTAGTACTTGCTGCCTTCTTGCTATAACATTCTAATGGGTCCCGGATAAGAATAAGAAAGGAAAGAAACAAAAAAAGGAATTTAAAAAGGAAGGAAGGGAGGGAGAGAGGGAAGGAAAAAAGAAGAAGCTTGGTTGTCCTACAACTTAAAAATTTACTCTTCTTTTGTCATAAGTGCATTGTTGGTTCACGGTGGTTATGTTCTATAAAATCACTGCAAACACTGAATTATCAAATACTGAAACACTGTTCCTAGGGGAAATACAGAGTTAGGTTCCCGTGACCCCTAGTTACATTTTCACCTAACAAATCAATACACAACCTTGGTTTTTTTGTGGTTCTGTTTGAAGATAACTTATTTAATACATACTGTTAATTCATTAACATTGAACTCAAGGCCAAAAGCACTATAATTCATGTGTAAATGAAGTGTACCTAGAATATATATTTACTATAAGGCACATCATAGCCTTCTTGTACTTAGGAAACCTAGACAGTACTATGCTTGGGGACATTTTATTTTATTTTATTTTATTTTTAAAGATTTTATTTATTTGTCAGAGAGAGAGAGTACACACAAGCAGGCAGAGAGGCAGGCAGAGAGAGAGGAAGAAGCAGGCTCCCTGCCGAGCAAGGAGCCCGATGCGGGACTCGATCCCAGGACCCCAGGATCATGACCTGAGCCAAAGGCAGTGGCTTAACCCACTGAGCCACCCAGGCGTCCCGCTTGGGGACATTTTAAACAGCGACATCATCAACAAGAAGTAAAAAAAAAAGTGGCACAAAAACAGAGATGAGAAGTCACTGGTTTATAGTGTGAGAGATGAAAAAAGAAGGAAGAGGGTCGCCTTGTTCGACCTAAGTTGAGAATGTGCATGTAGCGTAGCAAATATTTGCTGCTCTGTGCATATCCACAAACGACTACCAAAGCACTAGGAGTACTGACTCTGGGGTTACAAACAGATTTTAGCAAGTAGATCAGTTGCAAATATGGAACCTATAAATAATGAGAACCAATAGTACACTTAAAGTATAAATATGGAATCTACAAATAATGATCAACTATATATTTAAAATATTAATTTGGTTCAGATAACAAATACAAAAATGAACACACCATGGCTTAAAATGAATCCTCTTAAAATATCTGAGAAAGGAAGTAAACAGAAGTATTTTTAAAAGATGGCAATAGCGGGGGCGCCTGGGTGGCTCAGTGGGTTAAAGCCTCTGCCTTTGGCTCAGGTCATGATCCCAGGGTCCTGGGATCAAGCCCCGCATTGGGCTCTCTGCTCCGCAGGGAGCCTGCTTCCTGCCTCCTCTCTCTCTCTCTGCCTGCCTCTCTGCCTACTTGTGATCTCTGTTAAATAAATAAAATCTTAAAAAAAAAAAAAGATGGCAATAGAATATAAATTAGAAATTGAACAATCTTTAAAACAATGAACACAACTATCTTTAATTCTAATGTCTAGGCTAGTCAGATTTATTTAATGTTACTTATTTCTTTAATACCTGTCAGTTTGTCCCTACATTTCAAATATGTTTGGGGTGTGAAAGAATAGGCAAAATGAGTGAAGGGGACTGGGAGACACAGGCTTCCAGTTATGTAATGAATAAGTCACAAGAATAAAAGGTACAGGGAATATAGCCAATGACACTGTAAGAGCATTATATGGGGACAGACACACTTGCAGTGAACACAGCATAACCTATAGAGAGAACTTGAATCATTCTACTGTATACCTGAAACTAATGTTAACATTGTGTCAACTATAATGAAATGAAATGAAATATCTTTAAAAGTTCTCAGGACTAGGGGCGCCTGGGTGGCTCAGTGGGTTAAGCCTCTGCCTTCGACTTAGGTCATGATCTGAGGGTCCTGGGATTGAGCCCCACAGCGGGCTCTCTGCTCAGCACGGATCCTGCTTCCTCCTCTCTCTCTGCCTGCCTTTCTGCCTACTTGTGATCTCTCTCTCTGTGTATCAAATAAATAAATAAAATCTTTTTTAAAAAAAAGTTCTCAGAACTAAAAACAAAAATTGTTACTTTTTTTTTTTAAGATTTTATTTACTTGACAGAGAGAGAGTGAGCACAAGCAAGAGGAGTGACAAGGAGAGGGAGAGGGAGAAGCAGACTTCCTGCTGAAGTCTGGGTGGCTTAGTTGTTAAGTGTCTGCCTTTAGCTCAGGTCATGATCCCAGGGTCCTGGGATGGAGCCCCACATCGGGCTCCCTGCTCAGTGGGAAGCCTGCTTCTACCTCTCCCACTCCCCCTGCTTCTGTTCCCTCTCTCGCTGTGTCTCTCTCTGTCAAAAAATTAAATCTTTTTTTAAATAATTAAATAATTAATTAATTTAAAAAAGATAGTCTTAGGATGCTACAATAGTCGAAAACTGTTCCAAGAGACAGGTAAGTGTCCTTACAGATAAAGCAGGCAGGCCTTACGTCACTGCACTTCGCTTTACTGTGCTTCATAGAGACGGTGTGTTTTACAAATTGCAGGTTTATGACAACTCTGCCTTCAGCAATTCTATCAGCACCATTTGCTCATTTTGTGTCTCTGTGCCACCTTTTGGTAATTCTTGCAATATTTTAAACTTTTTCATTATTATATTTGTTATGGTGATCTCTATGAGTGATCTTTCATGTTACTATTATAATTGTCCTGGGGTTCCACAGACAATGGACAACTAAGTGGACCAATGTCATGTGTGCGCTCACTGTTCCACCAAGCAGCCCTTCCTCCATCTCCCTCCCTTTTCTTGGGTCTCCCTATTCCCTGAGACATAGAAATATTGAAATTAAGGCAACTAATAGCCCTACAGTGGCCTCTCTCACTTTAAATCAAAAGCTAGAAATGATTAAGTACAGTGAGAAAAGAATGTTGAAAGCTGAGATAAGCTGAAACCTAGGCCTCTTGTGCCAGCTGGCCAAGTTGTGAATGCAAAGGAAAAGGTCTTGAAGGAAGTTGAAAATGCTACTTCAGGGGCACCTGGCTGGTTCAGTCAGTAGAGCACAGGACTCTTGATCTCAGGGTTGTGAGTTCGAGCCCTAAGTTGGGCGCAGAGATGACTTTAATAAACAAACAAAGAAACAAACAAACAAATTAACGTGCTATTCCAGTGAACACACAGATGATATGAGAGCAATACAGCCTCATCGCTGTACGGAGGAAGTTTTGGTGATCTGGAGAGAAGACAAAACCAGCCACACATTCCCTTAAACCAAAGCTTCATCCAGAGAAAGGTCCTAACTCTCCTCAGTTCTCTGAAGGCTGAGAGAGGTGAGGAAGCTGCAGAAGAAAAGTCTGAAGCTGGCAGACAAGGGTTCATGAAGTTGAAGGAAAGATGAGGCCCCTGTAACTTAAAAGTATAAGGTGAAGGAGCAGGTGCCAACAGAGAAGCTACAGCAGGTTACCCAGAAGCTCTGGCTGAGAGAATTCCTGGAGGAGCTGCACTAAGCCACAGCATTTCAATGTGGATGAAACAGCCTTCTGTTGGAAGGAGATGCCATTAAGGATGTTCATAGCTAGAGAGAAGTCAGTGTCTGGCTTCAAAGCTTCGAAGGACAGGTTGACTCCCTTGTTAGGGCCTAATGCCACTGGTAACTTTAAGTTGAAGCCAATGCTTATCTACCATTCTGAAAATTCTAGGGCCTTTAAGAATTATGCTAAATTTACTACTCACATCTGTTTACCTGATGGTTTACTAAATTTTTTTTAAAGATTTTATTTCATTTATTTGAGAGAGAGAGAGCATGAGAGGAGAGAGGTCAGTGAGAGAAGCAGACTCCCTGCCAAGCAAGGAGCCGGATGTGAGACTCGATCCTGGGACTCCAGGATCATGACCTGAGCAGAGAGCAGATGCTTACCTAACTGAGCCATCCAGGCAACCAGTTTACTGAATATTTTAAGCCCACTGTTGAGACCTACTGATGAGAACAAACGTTACTCCAAAATCTGACTGCTCATTGACAATGGACTGGTCACCTAAGAGCTCTGATGGAGATGTACAATGAAAGAAGGTTGTTTTCATGTCTGCTAATACAGCATCCATTCTGTGTCCCATGGATCAAGAAGTAATTTTGACTTTCAAGCCTTACTATTTAAGAAATACATTGTGTAAGATTATCGCTGCCACAGACAGTGATTCCTCTGATGTGTCTGGGCAAAGAAAATTGAAAGCTTTATAGGAAAGATTCAACATTCTAGATGGCATTAAGAACATTTGTGATTCGGGGCGCCTGGGTGGTTCAGCTGATTAAGCGACTACCTTTGGCTCAGATCATGATCCCAGGGTCCTGGGATTAAGCCCCACATAGGGCTCCTTGTCCAGCAGGGAGCCTGCTTCTCCCTCTCCCTCTACCTGCTACTCCACCTGTTTGTGTTCTCTTTCTCTCTGTCAAATACATAAATAAGAATTCTTAAAAAAAAAAAAAAATTGTGATTCACTGGAAGAGGTCAAATATCAACATCAATAAGACTTTGGAAGAAGTAGATTCCAGGGGCACCTGGGTGGCTCAGTGGGTTAAAGCCTCTGCCTTTGGCTCAGGTCATGATCCCAGGGTCCTGGGATCGAGCCCCACATCGGGCTCTCTGCTCTGCAGGGAGCCTGCTTCCTCCTCTCTCTCTCTTTCTGCCTGCCTCTCTGCCTACTTGTGATCTCTGTCTGTCAAATAAATAAATAAAATCTTAAAAAAAAAAAAAAGAAGTAGATTCCTACTCTCATGGATGAGTTTGTGGGGTTCAGAACTTCCATGGAGGAAGTAACTGCAGAAGGGTGGAAACAGCAAGAGAACTGGAATTAGAAGTGGAGACTGAAGATGTGACTGACTGCTTTGATCTTGTGATAAAATTGAACAGATGAAGAGTTCCTTACTATGAAAGAACAAAGAAAGTGGTTTCTTGGCATGGAATCTGCTCCTGGTGAAGATGCTATGCAGACTGTTGAAATGACAACAAAGGATTTAGATTATTAAATAAACTGAATTGATTAAGTAGCAGAGCATTTGAGGGAATTTTTTTGAGATTTAAATTTTAATTCCAGTATAGCTAGCATACAGTGTTACATTAGTTTCAGGTATACAATATAGTGATTCAGTAGGGTTTAAGAACTGACTTCAATTTTGAATGAAATTCTACCATGGGTAAAATGCCCTCAAACAGCATCATGTGCTACAGAGAAATCATTCCTGAAAGGCAGAGTGAATCGATGAGACAAACTTCACTGTTGCCTTATATTATATACATATATTTTTAAAGATTTTATTTATTTATTTGACAGAGATCACAAGTAGGCAGGGAGAGGGGAAAGCGGGCTCCCTGCTGAGCAGAGAGCCCAATGCGGGGCTCGATCCCAGAACCCTGAGATCATGACCTAAGCCGAAGGCAGAGGCTTTAACCCACTGAGCCACTCAGGTGCCCTGTTGTCTTATATTAAAAAATCACCACAGCCACCCTCACCTTTAGCAGCCACCACCCTGATCAGTCAGCAGCCATCAACATCAAGGCAAGACCCTCACCAGCAAAAAGATTAAGGCTTGGTGAAAGATCAGAGGATGGTTAGCATTTTTAAGCAAGAAAGTATTTTTAAATGAAGGCATATACATTATTTTTTTAGACATAACTAACACACCTAACAGACTACAGTACAATGTAAACATAAATTTTACATGCACTGAGAAAACAAAAAATTCATTTGACTTGCTTTATTGTGGTGGTCTGGAACTGAACCTGCAAAATGTCCAAGTTGAGCTTGTAGTGGACAGAAATCTCATTAGAGTCAAGTATCAGTTTGTATTTAAGAAGTAAGCTAGGTGCCACCGATAAATATAAAACAGATACAAGACAGGAAGGGTAGGGAGGGGCATATGAAAAAAGGAGGGAAAATGAGGAAGGGAAAATAGATGAAAGGTGAGAAAAAGAAGGATAAAGATACATTGTGTTAACTAACTAGAATTTAAATACAAACTTCAGGGTGCCTGGGTGGCTCAGTGGGTTAAGCCTCTGCCTTCAGCTCAGGTCGTGATCTCAGGGTCCTGGGATCGAGACCCGCATCGGGCTCTCTGCTCGGCGGGGAGCCTGCTTCCCCTCTCTATCTCTGTCTGCCTACCTGTGACCTCTCTGTCAAATGAATAAATGAAATCTTAAAAAAAAAAAAAAAAAAAAACAAAACTTCAAACATTAAAGAGAAAGGAAAAATAAAAAAAAAAAACCAATACACACAGGACTGAGTATTTGAAAACCACCACCAACTATCTCATTAGCCATTGCCACCAGACTGGATCCTAACCTTGGGCTGTACTGAGTTCACAAATCAAAACTGAGGGGATAAAATGGCCAAGTACATACTGGATTTGTCGCTCCAAAAAATCAACTCCAATGGTTTTCTTGTAGTCTTTTGTAAAAATGCCTTTGCAATATCGCTGAATCATACTTGATTTTCCAACTGCTCCATTCCCTACAACCACCATCTTGATGGCCACTTCCATATCTTCCTCCAACATTTTTTCAGTTGAAAAGGTTTCTGAGCCAACTTTAATTCCAGGTGATCAGATCTTCTCAAATCTGTGGTTTAAAATGAAATTATTTTTCATAACATAAAAATTATATAAAATAATTTTAAAGGTTGATTTACGTATCTGAGAGACAGAGAGTGTGTGAGCAGGGGGAGGGGCAAAGGGAGAGGGACAGAATCTCAAGGAGACTTTGCTGAGTGCAGAGCCTGACGTGGGGCTAGATCCCAGGACCCCGAAATCATGACCTAAGCTGAAACCAAGAGTCAGATGCTTAACCAACTAAGCCACCCAGACACCCCAAAAATTGTACAAAATAAGCTATAATTGCTTTATGAAGAATAACTATAGTGCATTGCAAGAATTTTTCCATGATGGAGGTCCCCCTACCACCCTGTTTAGATCATGTAAGTTTGTTGAAAGGAGGGACAATAACATCATTCATTTCTGAATCCTAAATAATTGCACACAACACATGACACCCAGGTATTAATAAACGTCTAGATTACATAGTTCTATCTTTCAGTGAGACTAAGACTAAGACTGCAGTGTTAGAGTTGAGGTTTGATGTAAAGTTGCCACTTACTAGTTCTGGGCTAAGTAAAGTTACTGGCTAATCTCTTTAAGCTTCAGTTTACTGAGGATACTTACCTCAGAAGATTGTTGATCAATGGTACATATAAAGCACTTAGCACAGTGAAAATTAAGTATTCAAAAAATGGTAGTTTAAAAAAAAAAGGTAGTTTAGTTTTATACAACATAGTAAATCCTCCATAGTTACCACCACATGGGCAATAAATACAAAATCTAAGCAAATTGCTTGTTTGACCTCAGAGGTAATAATTAATATCCCTAGAAAAGAACCCTAAAGAAAAATTGTGTGTAATAATATACAACTGTGTGACAGCACTTGACTCTTACAGGGCTTTACTGTTCAGGTTACAATGACTCCTTTACAAATAATCTTACATCATATATTCTTTCTTTAGTTTCAGACTAGTTACAGTTACTCATATAATGAAAGTAATACAATGCGTACTGTTTGCACTTAAGATTTAAAAGAACAGAAAGTCAATTTCTTCATATGTCTTAGGAAAATTACTAGTTAAGTTCCTGACTACTATTATATGTTATAATATTATATTCCAACTCCTTTAACTGAAAATCCATCTACACAACCACTACACAAAACAAGTCTGAAACAGGAAGAACATTCCTCCCCACTCCCCATGGAGTTTCAGTAATTGTCCCTAGTGCTTCACAAACTTGCATAATCATAAGAATCATCTAGGAAGATTTGTTAAAGTATAGGTTCTAGGTCTCCACCTCAAACATAATTAAATGATGTAAAAAAAAAAATAGAGTAACAGAATAAAAAGAATGTGGTAGGAGCAAAAATACAGGTAAATACAGGGGCGCCTGGGTGGCTCAGTGGGTTAAAGCCTCTGCCTTCAGCTCAGGTCATGATCTCAGGGTCCTGGGATCGAGCCCCGAATCGGGCTCTCTCCTCAGCAGGGAGCCTGCTTCCTCCTCTCTCTCTCTCTCTGCCTAATTGTGATCCCTACCTGTCAAATAAATAAATAAATAAAAATCTTTAAAAAAAAAAAAGAGGTAAATACAATAGATTTCTCTTGAGCATTCTAAATTATGTCTGACTCAAACACAACTGTGTGATTTTCAGTATGTGTAAAGAAAATATTTAACATAATTAATTATAAATAGGAGAGGACAAAGTAATGTAAAGGGAGGTAAGAGTTCTATGCTTCCCTTGAACTGGTAAAATGTTGACACCAACAGACTGTGGTAAGTTATATATATGTAGTATACATAGTATAATACCCAGAGTAACTACTAAAGAAGTTAGTTATACAAAGAGGGGCACCCGGGTGGCTCAGTTAGTTAAATGTTCGCTTTCGGCTCAGGTCATGCTCTCAGGGTCCTAGGATCAAGCTCCCTGCATCTGGCTCTGAGCTCAGCGAAGAGCCTTGTTCTCCCTCTTCCTCTGCCCCTCCCCCCAACTCATGTGCTTGACCTCTTTCTCTCAAATAAATAAATAAAATCTTTAAAAAATAAAAGAAGTTACACAAGGAGAGATACTCAAAAATACAATAAAACAAAATGAAAGTCTAATAACACAATAAAACTATCAGAATCTAATATATATATACATATATATATGTATATATATATATAAAACAGCAGAATATACGTTTTCCTTTTAAAGATTTTATTTATTGGGGCGCCTGGGTGGCTCAGTGGGTTAAGCCACTGCCTTCGGCTCAGGTCATGATCTCAGAGTCCTGGGATCGAGTCCCGCATCGGGCTCTCTGCTCAGCAGGGAGCCTGCTTCCCTCTCTCTCTCTCTCTCTCTGCCTGCCTCTGTCTACTGTGATCTCTCTCTGTCAAATAAATAAATAAAATCTTTAAAAAAAAAAAAAAGATTTTATTTATTTATTGAGAAACAGAAGGAGTGTGAGCAAAGGGAGGGGCAGAGGGAGAGGGAGAAAGAATCTCAAGCAGACTCTGCATGGAGCCTGTCTCGGGGCTTGAACTCAGAATCTTCAGATCATGACCTAAGCCAAAATCAAGAGCCAGACACTCAACTGACTGAGCCACCTAGGCATCCCAGAATATACTTCAAGTACCCATTAAATATATACCAAGATAAAACAGATTCTAGGCCATAAAACAAAACTCAACAAACTTAAAATAATGGGACCACAAAGTAATCAAACTAGAAATCAGTAACAGATAACAGAAAAATCTGCAAACACTTGCAAACTAAAAACACAGACTTCTAAAGAACCTGTGGGCCAAAGAAAGAAGCTCAAAAGACTTTTTTTTTTTTTCAAATAATCAAACTGAATTAAAATGAAAATATAAAATGTGAAAATTTGGGGCACCTGGGTGGCTCAGTGGATTAAGCCGCTGCCTTCGGCTCAGGTCATGATCTCAGGGTCCTGGGATCGAGTCCCACATCGGGCTCTCTGCTCAGCGGGGTGCCTGCTTCCCTCTCTCTTTCTCTCTGCCTGCCTCTCCGACTACTTGTGATCTCTCTCTGTCAAATAAATAAGTAAAATCTTTTAAAAAAATAAATAAATAAATAAAATGTGAAAATTTGTGGGAAATAGCTAATGTAGGGCTGAGAGGGAAAATTTATAGCACTTAATGTTCACCGTGGAAAAGAAGTTAAGTTTCAAATCAGTAATTTAAACTCTCACCTCAAGAAACTAGAAAAAAAGAGCAAAATAAACCCAAAGCAAAGGATGGAAATAACAAAAGTAAGCAGAAATCAATGAAACTGAAAACAGAAAAACAGGGAAAATTAAACAAAAAAAAACTTTCTTTAAAGATTAAAAAAAAAAAAAAAAACTGACCAACACAGCAAAAAATAAGAGAGAGAGAGGTAAGATACAAATCACCAGTATTAGGAATAAACTTAGGAATGTCACTGTGGACTTTGCAGACTCAAAAGGATAATGTAAGGGGCACCTGGGTGGCTCAGTGGGTTAAAACCTCTGCCTTCAGCTCAGGTCATGATCCCAGGGTCCTGGGATCGAGCCCCACATCAGGCTCTCTCCTCAGCGGGGAGCCTGCTTCCCCCCACCCCTCTCTACCTGCCTCCCTGCCTACTTGTGATCTCTGTCTGTCAAATAAATAAATAAATCTTAAAAAAAAAAAAAAGCATAATGTAACAACTCTACACACACAAATTTGACAACTTAAGGAAGCCTGGGTGGCTCAGTCCATTAAGCATCTCACTCTTGATTTTGGCTCAGGTCATGATCTCAGGGTCATGAGATGAAGCCCTGCATAGGGGTTTAAGATTCTCTTTCTCCCTCTCCCTATGCCCTTCCCCCTCTTAAAAAAATTGACAACTTAGCTGAAATGGACCAATTCCTTAAGAAGCATTAACTACCACAACTCATTCAATATGAAATCAATGATTTGAACAGTACTATAACTATAAAGGAAATTGAACCTGTAACTTAAAAACTCAAAGAGGGGCACCTGGGTGGCTCAGTGGGTTAAAGCCTCTGCCTTCAGCTCAGGTCATGATCCCAGGGTCCTGGGATCGAGCCCTGCATCGGGCTCTCTGCTCAGCGGGTCTTGGGATAGAGCCCTGCATCGGGCTCTCTGCTCAGCGGGGAGCCTGCTTCCTCCTCTCTCTCTGCTTGCCTCTCTGCCTATGTGTGATCTGTCTGTCAGATAAATAAATAAAACCTTTAAAAAAATAAATAAATAAAAATTTTTAAAAATAAAAATAAAAACTCAAAGAGAACTCTCCAGGCTCAGGTGACTTCACTAGAGAATTTTACCAAACTTTCCAAGAATGGATACCAATGATATACATTCTCTTCCAGAATATAGAATAGAAAGGAATACTTTCCAACTTATTTTATAAAGTCAGTATTATTTTGATACCAACATCACACAAAAACAGTACCAAAAAACAAAAACAACTGGACAAAGACACACAAAAGTCCTCAACAAAATATTAGCAAATCAAATCTAGGAATATATAAAAAGAATAGCTAGGACCAAAAAAAAAAAAAAAAAAAGAATAATTAAGACCAAGTAGGCTTTATTCTGGGAATGCAAGGCTGGTTCAATACTAAAAAAAAAAATACTAAAAAAAAAAAATACTAAAAAAAAAAAAAAATCGATGTAATCTACCAAATTAACAAAGTAAAAAAGAAAGATCTCACCACCCTATCAACAGAAACAGAGGAAATATATAACAAGATTCAACATCCATTTGTCAGAAAAATAGTAAGCAAACTAGAAACAGAAAAAGACTTCTTCAGCCTCATGAATGTCATTTAAAAACTCCACAGCTAACATTATACTCAACTCTAAAAGCCTGAATGCCTTTTTTCCCCCCTCAGGTAAACTCTATGTACAACAGGGGGCTCAAACTCAGGACCCTGAGAGCAACTGTTGCAGGCTCTACTGACTGAGCCAGCCAGGCACCCCTGAAAGCCTGACTGCTTTAACCCTTAGACTGAGAAGAAGGTAAGTATGCTCACTCTCACTACTCCTATTCATCATACACAAAAGTCCTAGACAGAAACTAGGTGACAAAAAATAAGTAAAACTCTTAGAAGAGAAAGACTAAATAAAACTGTCCCTATTCACAAATCACACGAATGTCTTTACAGAAAACTCCAAAGAATTAAAAAAAAAAAAAATCCTAAAACTAATAAATGAGTTTAGCAAGGACACAGGATACAAGAGCAACACACAGCACTGAATTGTATTTCTATACCCTAACAATGTACAATTTTTCAATTTACATTGTTATTTCTTAAATTTGTTTTATTTTATTTAAGTAGTCTCTACACCCAACATGGGACTGGAAATGACAACCCCAAGATCAAGAGTCGCATGCTGTTCCAACTGAGCCAGCCAGGCATCCCTGAAAACAAAATTTTTAAGTGACATTTATAAAAGTTCCCCCCAAATTAAATACTTTGGTGTAAATTTAACAAAACATGTATAGGACGGGCCTATATATTGAAAACTATAAAACACTAATGAAACAAAGTCCTACATAAATGAAAAGATGTGCATGTTCACAGATCAGAACACTCAACAAAGTAAAAACAGCACTTCTCCCCGAATTGATCCACGGTTTAATCCAATTCCAAAGCACCAGCAGGATTTTCTGCAGTTGATTCTAAACGTTATCTTTCTCTTTACGTTTCTAAACGTTATTTGGAAAGGCAAATAAACTAGAATAGCTAACACAATCTTTAAAAAGAACAAAATCTGGGTGCCTGGGTGGCTCAGTGGGTTAAAGCCTCTCTGTCTTCAGCTCAGGTCATGATCCCAGAGTCCTGGGATCGAGTCCCACATCGGGCTCTTTGCTCCGTGGGGAGCCTGCTTCTTCCTCTCTCTCTGCCTGCCTTCCTCTCTGCCTACTTGTGATCTCTGTCTGTCAAATAAATAAATAAAATCTTAAAAAATATATATATAAAGAACAAAATCGGAGGAAATCATACTGGCCACTTTTAAGACACCATAAAACTATACAAGTCAAGAAAGTGTGATACTGGTAAAGAGAAAGATATATAAATCAACGGAACAGAACAGAGGGCCCAAAAATAGACCCACACAAATTCAGCCAAATGATTTTTGACAAAAGGTACAAAAACAATTCAATGAAGAAAAGACTGTTTTCAACAAATGGTGGTAGAAAATAGGACATTCATATGTAAAAAAAAGTAAACATTTACTTAAACCTCATACCTTATACAAATAATTTAAAATGGATCACAGATCTAAAAGTAAAACTATAAAAAAAAAATAATAATAATAAAAGTAAAACTGTAGGGACACCTGGATGGCTCAGTCGATAGAATCTGCCACCTGATCTAATGAGTTCAAGCCTCATGTTGGGTGTAGAGTTTACTTAAAAATAAAATCTCAGAGGCACCTGGGTGGCTCAGTCAGTTAAATATCTGCCTTTGGCTCAGGTCATGATCTCAGAGCCCTGGAACCCAGCCTGGGGTGGGACTCCCTGCTTAGTGGGAAGTCTGCTTCTCCCTCTCCCCTTGCTTCTCTCCTGCCCACACCCCACCCTCCACACTGTGCTCAGGTACTCTGTCTCTCAAATAAATAAATAAAATCTTTAAAAAATAAAATAATAAAAAATAAAACAATAATTTTTAGAAGAAATATTTTACAAGGTGAAAATGTTGACCTGGCGTTAGGCAGAGTTCTTAGACATCCAAAAAAATTTCCACAAGGGGAAAAACTGATAAATTAGACTTCACAAAAATTAAAAACATTTGCTTTGTGAATGATACTGTTAAAAGAATGAAAAGACAAGCTACAGACTGTGAGAAAGTATTTGCAAAGCACGTATCTACCAAACAACTTGTATCTGGAACATATGAAGAGCCCTCAAAACTCAACATAAGAAAAAAAGAAACCCATAAGAAAGCTAAGAACCCATTTGAGAAATGGGCACTAAATACTCTTGCCCAGAGACTCATCAAAGATTATATATGCCAAAATAAGCACATGAAAAGATATTCAAAATCATTTGTCATTAGTTAAAGACACACTAAAACCATGGGATACCACTATATGCCTATGAGATGGCTAAATTTAAAATTACCGACAATACTAAGTGCATACAAGAATGTGGAACAATGGGTACTCTCCAATGGTGCCTGTAAGAATGCACAATGCTAACAGCCACTCTGGAAACCAGCATGACAGTTCCTTATAAAGTTAAACATCCTTTTTATGACCCTGCAATCCCACTCCTAGCAATACCCTCCAGAAAGGAAAACTTGTGTTCACACAAAAACCTGTACACGAATGATTATAGCAGCTCTATTCATAATCACCAAGACTGAAAACACTTCAAATCTCCTTCAGTGGGTGGATGTATGAACAAACTGTGGAACGTCCATCTAATGGAACACTACTTAGCAATAAAAAAAAGAAGAAACGCTTGATACATGCAACAGCTTGGAGGAATCCTAAAGGCATTGGGCTGAGTGAAAGAAGTCAGCATCAAAAGGTTACATATTGTATGATTCCACTTATGTGACATCTGGAAAAGTTTAGTAATTGCCAAAGGTTAGGGGTAAGGGAAGAATATAAAAGGATAGCATGAATTGGGGGGGGGGGTTTAGAACTGTTCTATGCCCTGATTGTCGTGGTGACAGCATTAATCTAAAATTCACAGAACTGCACACCCCTTAAAAAGACAATTTTACCATATAATTTTAAAAATAAAATTTAAAAGAAGAGAAGAGCAATCAGATTTTAACACAGCCAGTCTGGTGATTATCAGCTACTACTGCTCTATAGACATAAAGCACTCTATCAAAACAGCTAAGCTTGGGGCGCCTGGGTGGCTCAGTGGGTTAAGCCTCTGCCTTCATTCAGCTCAGGTCGTGATCTCAGGGTCCTGGGATCGAACCCCACATTGGGCTCTCTGCTCGGCAGGGAGCCTGCTTCCCCTTCTCTCTCTGCCTGCCTCCTTGTGATCTCTCTCTCTGTGTCAAATAAATAAATAAAATCTTAAAGAAAAAAAACCAGCTAAGTTCTTAGAAAATAAGATAATGCTGAGTATAATAATTAAAAAGCTTACAGCAATGCTTTGCATAAATATTTTCTAAATACCGTTTTTCCCAAATTTAATTTTAAAAAGTTTTCCAACCAATGCAGTCTAATAAATTAGAAAATGTACTTAAGCACAGGTACGACTGTGTTTATAACACTGAAAAGCTTGTTAGGTTCGATGAAATTACCTAGACAACATTAGGAGTATATAAAGCCTAAAGAACCGGCCCTTTCAGGGGCGCCTGGGTGGCTCAGTGGGTTAAGCCGCTGCCTTCGGCTCAGGTCATGATCTCAGGGTCCTCGGATCAAGTCCCACATCGGGCTCTCTGATCAGCAGGGAGCCTGCTTCCTCCTCTCTCTCTGCCTGCCTTTCTGCCTGCTTGTGATCTCTGTCTGTCAAATAAATAAATTTAAAAAAAATTATTTAAAAAAAAAAGAACCGACCCTTTCAGACTCTTTAATGCGCTCGCACACACCCTCAAGTTCTTACGTCTGGGAGCTCCTCGACTCCTCTGTTCTCCGAGTTAAGTAATTCTGTGGCAGCCAGTGTCAATGAAATAGTGCAGTCTGGCTCATTCATATTCTAGCAGTCTGAGCAAGAAACTAGGGAAGGGTGGGGCCGCGGGTAAGGAGGGGGCCCCGCCGCAGGAAGGAGGGGGTTCTAAAAGCCAGGGCAGAGCTTGAGACCCCGCTTCCGATCAAACCGAACCCGGCACTTGACGCCCCTTGCTGGTGACGGCCCCGGCCTGGGTCGCCCCCTACCCATGTGGGCGCTGGGAGAAGGCGAGAAGCTGGGTGCTCGGCCAAGCTGGAGGCCAGCGCCTCGCCCCCGCTGCGTCTCGCTCCTTCCCGCCCAAGGGGCAATTCCAGGGACGCACACCCTGGGAGCCCGGGCCGCTGGGCGCTGAGAGCGGAGGCCGGGCAGGTACTGCCGCCCACCTCCTCCAGCGGGAACTTGGGCACGGCGCTCTGCGGCTGGGGAGCGGGCGCTCAGCTGCCAGGGCCGGGGGGATGGGAGCCCGGGCCTAGAGGCCCCTGCCCCTCACACCCCTCTACAGTCCCCGGGGTACGGCACATCCCGGGACCCCAGGGAGAAGCGGGTCCTTCCTCAGCCGAGCGGGGGGAGCCCTCAGCCGCTGGACAGAGCGAGTGAGATCAGCGCCGCTGTCCGGAGTGCAAGTCGCTACTCACCGTACCCCGCCGGCCGCGGACCCGCTGCCCGGCGCGACCGGCTCCTCCTGGTCGCGGCGCAACCGCTGCCGCCGCCGCCGCCTTCTCCTCCTCCTCCTCCTCCTCCTCCTCCTCCCAGGGCGCCAGCAACCCCGGCGGGGCCGCCCGGCTGGCTCGCGCCCTCCTTCGCTCTTTTAAGAATGATTATGATTTTTTTTAACGAACTTTATTGGCAGCCGGGGCTCGGAACAAGCGCCTTTGCAGCAACTCCCGCAAGGGTGGTGGGGCGGGGGAGACCCGACTCCCCACATCTGTGGGCCCGCCGCTCTGCGGAGCATGCGCTGGGCTTGGTCTGCGCATGCTCCGCGGGGACCGGGTCCCCCGCCCCGCTCCACCCCTGTTCTGGCTGGTGCCCCGCAGGGCGGCTCCTTCGCTTTCCCTATTCCTCCCGGGACCGGCGGCAGTGGGGAGACCTGCGGCGGGCGGGAGCGCCCAGATCGTGGACCCTAGTAAAAAAACTGACAGACGAAGGTCCGCCTAAGTTTCGCCTACTAAGTGACCGGACTTCCAGAGTACTCAAAGGACCTGCTCCGCCATGGACACATACCTCATTTTCTTCACCCGATGACATCCAAGGGTTAGAGTGAGTGAAAGTGCTGAGCAAAACCGAGGACGCACTCACAGTCAACACCTTGCGACTGGACAAAGTAGATGTCTTAGATGGTTAACAATTCAGAGAACCAAACCAACAACTAAAAGGTCCCCCCAAACGCAATCTAAACTTTGCTTGAGTTGTTTTTTATTTCAAAATACAATAGAAAAGGGAATAAAGGAAGACACCAAGTGTTGGAAAAATACTCCCAAGTGGAGTTGGAAATGTTGGGGTTTGGAGCCTATGGCTAAGAAAGAATTATGTGCAAAAAGGTGGTTTTATTAAAGCTTGGGCACAGGAGTGGGCAGAAAGAGCTACACTAGGATCATGAGGAGTGACCCATTATATACTTTCAAGTTGGGAGGGGGTTAGGGGTAGTAAGTCTCCAAGGAATTTTGGAAGCAAGGTTTTTAGGACCTTGAGGGGGTTAGCAGTTGTTAGGAAAATGTCATTTATTACCATCTAATAAAACCTCAGTCATCATGAGACCCTTCAGTTGTGTATCAGTAGGCTACATGGTTGAAGGATGGTTGTCAACATGTATTTTGGGGGATAAAGATAAAGGAAGTGTCCAAAGGAATCTTTATATATTAAAGTAGACTTACAGGATCCTGGCAGCAAGGGGAGGTCAGGACAATGTTAAGCTAAGATGGCCTTTTGCCCTGAGCAAAGCATTAACATAAAGGCAGCTGAGTTCCTAGTGGAACGTCACTCTGCCTGTCTCAAGGACTTGTCAATGGGTTCTAAGTAGTAAGAAAATTTAATTTTTTCTTTTGCCTTTGTTTCCCACACCACAAGGATGTGGAGTAACTGAATTCATCTACTCTGCTTCTGGAATGTAAGCTAGAACAACTCCTTTCAGTTTGGTTCTGGGGCACCTGGGTGGCTCAGTGGGTTAAGCCTCTGCCTTCGGCTCAGGTCATGATCCCAGGATCCTGGGATCGAGTCCCGCATCGGGCTCTCTGCGCAGCAGGGAGCCTGCTTCCTCCTCTCTCTCTGCCTGCCTCTCTGCCTACTTGTGATCTGTCTGTCAAATAAATAAATAAAATCTTTTTTTTTTTTATTTATTCATGGACAGAGAGAGATCACAAGTAGGCAGAGAGGCAGGCAGAGAGAGAGAGAGGAGGAAGCAGGCTCCCTGCTGAGCAGAGAGCCCGATGCGGGACTCGATCCCAGGATCCTGGGATCATGACCTGAGCCGAAGGCAAGAGGCTTAACCCACTGAGCCACCCAGGCGTCCCAATAAATAAAATCTTAAAAAAAAAAAAAAATCAGTTTGGTTCTGAAAGGGTCCATAGACAAAAGGACGAGACTGATACAAAGCGAAGGTCAAGCAAAGCTTTATTTCGCGCCAAGCATCGAGAATCAAACTGACCGGCCAGGGCCATCTCTTGCAAAGAGGCGACCCCTCCCAGTCTCACAGACTAACTTTTATAGAGTAAAGGCCATGTGGTTGAGCCTGGCACACACAGGTGGCCAATTGAATTACAGTCTACCCCATGATAGTCATCTAATTCAGCCTATGACCTTGGCTAGAATTGGCGCCTTTGATGCCCAAAAGGCAGGGGCTCACACTCCCTGGCGGGTAATACCTGCGCTTTTACTTGATTGGACGTCTCCACCTGGCCGAACACGTCCTTGGCGGGTAGGGAGGTATTACGTGAGCTTTCCCTTGATTGGACGTTTCCATCTGGCCAGACATGTCCTCGAATCTGGACTCCGTTATCGGGGACTATTTGGCCGTATTTCACCAATTCTGTTTCTAAGCGCTTTCCTCTTGGGGGAAGGGGCAGGTTCAATCTAAGTTTACTGCATAAACAACAAAATGGCTCACTCTGGCTAAGTAGGCCCTTACAGTTCTATCTACCAAAGTAGCCTACCCTGTGACCCAGCAAGCAGTTTCACCTCTACAAATCCAGCCAGGAGAAATGAGGACTTAACGGTGCACCAGCAAACAGGAATGTTCACAGCTGCATTTTTTTAAAACAGCTCCCAAATGAAAATAACCAAAAGACCATAAACAACAGAATAAATTAATAAATTCAGTGTTCATAATAATGGAATACTATGCAACAATGAGAAGACTGACCTAAAACAAACAACATGAAATGGCTTAACTGCGGAAATGTAAATTTGAGCATAGAAAGTAAGGTCCAGTGCACCTGGGTGGCTTAGCTGGTCGAGTAGCCTGCTCACAATTTTGGCTCAGTTCTCAGTCTCAGGGTCCTGGGATCAGGCTCTGAGCACAGTGGGGAGTCTGCTTCACGATATTCTCTCCCTCTCCCTCTGCCCCTCTTCCCTGCAGATAGCAGGCATGCATGTACTCTCCAAAATAAATCAAAGGAAAGAAGGAAGAAGGAAGGAGAAAAAAGAAAGGAAGGAGGAAGAAAGGAAGGGAGAGAGAGAGAAAATAAAGCTCACAAAGTACCTACTGACTAAGTCCATTTCAGCACAAAAACAGGAAAATTTATCTGCTAAAATTTGGGATAATGGTTACCTTGGCAGAAAAGGAATAGTGACTGGGTGAGGAATTCCAAGGTGTTAGTAAGGCTCTCTCTGTTGATCTTGGCCCTGGTTACACATGTGTATTCATTTGTGAAAACTCACCAAACTGTACTCTTATATGTACATTTTTCTGTGGGTGAATTATAGTTCATGTGTAGTAGTTTATAGAATTAAAACTTTTAAATTTTAGGGTCTCCCGGGTGGCTGAGTCAGTTGAGCATCTACCTTTGGCTCAGGTCATGATCCCAGGGTCCTGGGATCAAGCCCCACTTTGGGCTCCCTGCTCAGTGGGGAGCCTGCTTCTCCCTCTCCCTTTGCCCCCCCCCCTTGTGTTCTCTCACACTCTGTTCTCTCTCAGTTAAATAAAAACCTTAAATACAATAAAAAGTTTAATTTTTAATTTGTTTTACCATATAATTGCAATACAGTTTAATAAATGTAAACACAGCGATTATCAACAAGAAATTTAGTGTCAAGTAGCCAATGGATTTATTTCCATGATTTGGTTGGTAGTCTCTTTAATTTGAGTAATGTACTCACCCCAATTAAAAGAAAAAGAAAAAACCAATTAAGAAATGGGCAAATGGGGGTGCCTGGGTGGCTCAGTGGGTTAAGCCTTTGCCTTCAGCTTGGGTCATGATCTCAGGGTCCTGGGATGGAGCCCAGCAACAGGCTCTCTGCTCCACAGGGAGCCTGTTTCCCCCTCTCTCTGCCTGCCTCTCTGCCTCCTTGTGATCTCTCTCTCTGTGTCAAATAAATAAATAAATAAATAAAATCTTTAAAAATAAAATAAAACAAAATAAAAAAAGAAATGGGCAAGCGGACTTAAATACACATTTCTCCAAAGAAGATGTACAAATGGCTAATAAGTACATGAAAATAAGCTCAATATCACTCATTACTAGTAAAATGCAAATCAAAACCACAATGAGATACTATTTCACACCCACTAGAATCGCTGCTTTAAAACAAAACAAAACAGGGGCGCCTGGGTGGCTCAGTGGGTTAAGCCACTGCCTTCGGCTCAGGTCATGATCTCAGAGTCCTGGGATCGAGCCCCGCATCGGGCTCTCTGCTCAGCGGGGAGCCTGCTTCCTCCTCTCTCTCTGCCTGCCTCTCTGCCTGCTTGTGATCTCTGTCTGTCAAATAAATAAAAAAAATCTTAAAAAAAAAAAAAAATAAAAAAAAAAAAAAAACAAAACAAAACAAAACAAATAAAATAATACGTGTTGGCAAGAATGGTGAGAAATTGGGGGGTGGGAGGGATGGGGTGGCTGGGTGATGGACATTGGGGAGGATATGTGTTGTGGTGAGCACAGGGTGTTATTTAAGACTGATGAATCACAGACCTGTACCCCTGAAACACATAATACATTATATGTTAATTTTTAAAAAATTGTCTTGAAACAAAAAACAAATTTAAAGAGCTTTAAGGGGCACCTGGGTGGCTCAGTAGTTTAAAGCCTCTGCCTTCAGCTCAGGTCATGATCTCAGGGTCCTGGGATCAAGCCCCGCATCGGGCTCTCTGCTTGGTGGGGAGCCTGCGTCCTCCTCTCTCTCTCTCTCTGCCTGCCTCTCTGCCTACTTGTGATCTCTGTCTGTCAAGTAAATAAATAAAATCTTTTAAAAAATAAAAATAAAAAAAAAGAGCTTTAAAACAACAAACAAACAATGGTGAGAAATCTTAACCCCTGTGCACCATCAGTAGGAATGTAAAATGGTATCGCTATTATGGAAAACAGTATGGCAATCCCTCACAAAATTAAAAATAGAATTACCATATGATGCAGCTACTCCACCTCTGAGTATATACTCAAACGAACTGAAAGCAAGGAGTCAGAGAGGTTTGTACAACTATGTCTATATCAACATTATTGACAATAACCAAAAGGTGGGAGCAACTGAAATATGCACCAACAGATGAACTGATAAACAAAATGTCATATAAACATACAATGAAATGGAGCACCTGGCTGGCTCAGAAGGAAAAGCATGC